AATTTTAGGCCGCAGCTGGCGCAAAGGGACGGCCTTAAGGCTATGGAAATTGCAGCAAAACAAAAAAGTTCGCAAGGATGAGGCAAGTCTCAAGGCAGGCCTTGAAACGCGCCTCCAGGGTCGCGAGGCTATGGAAATTTGGAACAAAACACCTCGAGGCACTCTTCGAGGCAGGCCTGGGGCTATGACAATTGGAGCAAAACAATCAATATATATAATTATATATATATATCACAAGGAAGGGGTCCGTTTTTGGTCCTAAAAAGGCAAGAAAAGGCAGACACGCAAACATGGGCCTCCCTAGTATTTGATCAAAATGGGGTTCCAAAACCAGGACCCCAAAACAGGAAGTTTTGCGGTGACGCATGGGCGTACCCTCAGAGTATAAATAATATATACACATAAATATAATTAGTTAATTAATTAAAAATATAATAATATATTAATGGGGAGTTCCATGAATGGGGGTACCCCAATAGCTGGATGGTCTATGGAAAATCTGTCTATACATGAATGATGTAGGGGTACATAAACTATTTTGGAAACCTCCAAATATATATATATATATGAATATTTTTATATATATGATGAAGACTTTCAGGAACCTATATTGGAGGTACCTACCACAAACACTTAGGCTGAAATGGCCACTGACATATGTGATGTATGTCTGTGTTTTTTTTGTACATGCAATATGTACATGTGTATATATATATATGAATAACTGATATTAGAAATAGCTGATGTATGTGTAACATATATACATATGTTTCATTCAGTCATGTTGATGAATATGAACATTAAGTATTGTCTGTTCTCTTTGATGATCTTTGTATATATCATGTGCTGTTGGTGGGTCGAAATCACTACTTGAATACCATGTCTATGTTATCAGTTCCTCATGATATAAACTCGTATAATTTTGTATATTGATTTTCAATGTGTGTTGCGATACGAATCATCATGAAGTCTGCTTATCTAGGCTCCTCAAACCCTTTGCCATGGTGTCTTTCTATAGCTGGGTACACTATATCGTACCGCACGTTGATGGGGTCAGACGTTCAGATCATGCCCAAACTGGAGACGACCTGTTTTAAATCATTCCCCACAAGGGTGAGAATTGCTTGAAAATAGGAAACCCAGTTGTTCATACACTCCTATAAACGTTTACACAGATGTCGAGAACCACTAGTTGTAGATCATTTTCCAAGGGAAACCGTGGGTTTTCACATCTATGTTCGTTTGCCCCAAGGTAATCATGCTCCTCATTGAAATGTCCTCCAAGTTCATACCAATACTGCGTAGGAGTGCACAGCCATTAGTAATGCGCGAATGATGCCATCAAAGGTTGTCTTCAAATGACTATGCTCAGTGGTATGTGTGGGCAGAAAACACGCACAAACAAACCCACATATCATATGAGCTTGGTTACAGTATGGAGATCACTATCAAAAGCATCACATTAACTTAAATTCCCATCAGATTGTTATTTTGACCATGGTTGGTACAATTTCAATCATATAGTTTTCTCTGAAGACAGGATAACCAAAAATCCTTTTCATTTAAATAAAACAAAAACACTTTCGGGTATTCCCAATTTCTGGACATACCCATATTACTATCATAGAGTTGGTCGTAACTACATGTGTATATATATATATGTATACATTATATACATGAGTGAAATCCCACTATAACATGATATCCCCATTAAGGTAAAATCCCTTGTTTTTTTACATACACCACTATACCCCCACAATATCCCCCTAATAACCCCACTATATCACCATAGAATGGTTAGTTTTTATACCACCAAAAGCAATATATCTATATATTTTTAAACATGTACACACACATATATATATATATACACATATTATATGTTGTAGATTATATTCCAGTTGTGGTTGGGTATAAACCAATGAAATTCCCAGCCAACACCTCTGTCATGGTTAGATGTCCCAACTGACGATCACCCGGGCTTCCCCCCACCGCTTGGATGGTCAAATGCTGGAGCCGCACAGGAGCCTCCGATCCCCGAGGCCACCGGAATTAATAATGATTTAAGGAATTTTTATGGTTTATCATGGTTTATCTATGATTTTGAGGGGTTGTTCTACGATTCTAAGGGATTTATCTAAAATTGAACGATTTCTCTATGATTTTAAGGGATTAGGATTTTAAAAGATTTATCTATGGTTTTAAGATATTATTTATGATTCCTTGCAAGGATTTAACAATGACTTTAAGGGTTTTGGCAATGAGTTAAGGGATATTTCTTGTATAAATGGGGACAGCACTAAATGATGATTTGATGGTTCAAGAGACTTAACCATAAACAATGGAGAGTTAACCATAGAAAATAGTCTTATCATGATGGTATATTTCATAAAACGATGATATTGATATTCCTCTGTTAGGTGGTGCTAATCTTGCCCAAACAGGTGTTTTATTTTTATAACTTGCCATTGTTAGTAAGAGATGGGAGGTGTTAAGTAGGGTCAAACAAGAATGACAATCAATAAAGAATGGATGCCAACCAAGCAGACTGGGGGTAGTATTGAACACGTTGTTTTGGCCCATGATAATCTAACATGGTTGGTTGAAAATATGGTTTTACAGCAAGCAAAGAATGGAACATAGTAATTCTAGCGTGTTCATTAGACGATTGGGATGATTATCTACATGTGGAACTGTTTGTTAATTTCCATATTGAGTACAGTGATGCGACACACCTTGTATATACATGTTGTTTATTCTGTTGTGTGATAAGTTCAGTAAAATACGGTAAACCTAACATGTATGCGAGCACATGCATAGTTGCCAAGTGCACCATCAAGATCTATACACACATATATATACATACATAGAGCCATGCACCATATTATATATCTATACATAGACATTATGTCAATTATATCCATTAATACTTATATACACGGAGTTCATAATCCATTAATATTACACATAGAACTGTAGACGAAATATTAAGTGGCTTAATATTTGATATAGTCCATGATATGTTTATATCCAGTAATATTCAGTTCCATCTAAACTAAATATTTAGTCCATGATATGTTTATATCCATTATAGTCCATTTATTGTTATATCCACAATACACTACCCTCTGGTAAACGTTTACATAACTATGGAAAGTCACCATTTTTAATGGGACAACTCACTATTTCTATGGCCATTTTCAATAGGTATGTTAGTTTACCAGAGGGTATATCCCATTAATTAATCATCATTAATCACCAATAAATCACAATTAGCCATGATTAACCACTATTAACCATTACTAACCAATAACCATAGGGTATATAATGCTCATCGGTTCAAAAGCTGGGGTCCAAGGCCAACATCGCTTGTCCTCTCGCTGCCTGCGGGCTGCGGCTGGTCGAACTTGGCTAAGCTGCGGAGCTGCGTCCCATTGGGTCTGAAAAGAAGGCCTAGGGGATTTGAGATAAGTGTAAGATAACTGTAAGATATCTTACAATGAACAAGAAAATTTGGATGTGATCAATTTGATCATCAAACATTGTGAGATATTGTGAGATAATCGTCACAATAGTTGATTTAAGCATCCGACATAGGGGTTTTAATTTTCACGAGGATTTTAGTATCAAACAGTTGAATTTAACCAAGCATTAGGTGTAGCCAAGAACACACCGGATTCAATCTAATCATCAAAAACACAGGAATATTTTACCATCAAAACAATGGATTAAACATTATCTAATTAATCATTTATAGTACCATGTGTGGTTTGTCTAAACAATGGGAAAACTACGCAATTTGATGGTATATCAGAATTTGTCACCATCTTCCTCTTTTTAATTGCCATAAATTGGGCAGAACCCCGCCATTTTCAGTCACACCCAAGTGTAGTTGAAGACGCGCTTCGTCCTAATTTCGAGTACGTCTACGCACTGTATCAGGTTTAAATCGGCTATGACGTCTACCAACATATATTGTAGATACCATACTGCATCCTACATTTCAATACTACAGTGCTGCAAATGAAATGCTAAATATATGTATAGACATATATATATATAGTATATTTCAGGTGTATAAAAAAATAGTATATATATATTTATTTATTTATTTATGAATTATTGTATTCATGAAATAATGTAATACTTTATATATGACACCCGTTCGAGGGCTAAAAGGCTTAGCGGCTTGACCCTTAGACTAAAAAGGGCTCGCCATCCCACATCATCTAACAATACTGATTTCAAGCCGTTTAAGTTGCAAGTTTTGCATCCCACCCGCCAGGTGGATGGTGGATATCCGAGGTACGAGCTCCGCCAGCTTTACGAAGATATTCCATCCATAGCCGATGTCGGTAGCCAGGGTCACTGAGCATACTATACTAGGCAATTAGGGAAATAATATTTCGCTAAACTTTGGCTATCATCACTTCAAATCACTTTAAACAATCATTCATTAATTGTTTAAAGTGTCTTTACCCCTTTCGAGCGCAGATCTTTTCCTCAACTCCGTAGGCGCGAAAATCCGAAGTGACCAGCAGCGACCTGCAGGGAAATCCATTGATTTCATGGTGAAGCGCCAAAGTCAGGAGATAGGACCCTGTTATGGCACTAAAAACTGAAACCATTTTTGCCGACATAGGCAAAGGCTGCAGGAAAACTCAAGATGATTAAAATCAATATACTGTACTGTACAAATGTAAAAAAATAAATAATATATATATATATACAAATGTTTTATGATGTTATATGTACTGCAATTTTGTTGTATATTCAAAATATTGATTGAATCCCAACATTCGCTAACTAATTATATATGGTAAAAAAATGTTCAAAAACCCTGGTTTTAATCATGTTTGTTGTTTAAATCATCTTTAAACTCATAAAACACAATGTTTGCTCTTTGTTGTTGATTTTTGTTGGTTGAACCCCATATCAACCCCCGTCCCTTCCACCAGCATCGTCCCCGCGCAAGCGCGAAGGCAGCGACGTGTCAACGGTCAAAAGGAGCTGCGACGGAGGGAAAGAAAGGCGCGGAGGATCTGGTCGCCCTGGTAGCTGCCTGGGACAGGTTTTATGATGTATGATTACCAAGGGATTGGTTTAAGGGAAAATTAAGAGGAAAAAACATATTTAATGGGACAATCTATGGTTTCGTGTAGATTTTCCCGTAAACCAATCCATTGAGATCAGGTAAACTATGATAATAACCATGATGATTAGGAGATTAGGGGATGATTATCTATGAAAACCACCTGTGATTTGGGGATGATTACGATGGGCAATATAGAGTATGATATTCCGAAAAGGATGATGAGGATTATGGGATATGTATTGTTGTGTTCACTTAACATAGTTGTAACGTTATTATGTCAAATCACCGGATGGTATACCTATGATTAAAAAAACAATAACAAATGGAATGTGATAGTTATAATTAACGGGATATGATAGTTATAAAGAAAAGGGTAATGAAAGTCATGTGATATTTTCCTTTTATATAATGGGGTATTATGGGAAAATATTGAAAATGTGATAACCACAGTCATACAATATTCTTATACATTGTAATACAGTAGTACTATAAAAATCAGTTTTGTGATATACTATGACAACCATTCTCCATAACTATGTTAAATTACCAGAGGGTATAACTATTGGAATATGATAATCGTAAACTACTATAGTTGTTGTTTATAATTTCCGTTCTTCTGATTCAAACAAAAATAAAATGTGGATTGATTAATTATGAGATAGAAACGTGTAAATAATATGAGGGCTATACACTGTTGTAGTTCTCTCAATGATATGGGATAATGCCCGGGATCTACATCCAAGTGATCTTGATATCTCTCAGGTTTTGTGGGATACAACCAGGGCAGACACCTACCGCACCAATCAAAGTGGGCATGTTTAAAATCTGTGCGCTCCTACCTGTTTCTGAAACAAAACCACATAGTTAGTGGAGATCTGTTTGGAAGCTGTATCCAATGTATCCAATGTTCTACCCTCCAGATCCCGCCAATAAATGAGCATAGACCCTGCCAAGGGTTGGAAGACTAGTTTCCACTAAAAAACATGTTATTTCAGGGATCTTAATTTACAAGAGGGTATATTATATATACATGATTTATATATATATATAGATATCCCACCCCCTGCCTTCCGTATGTATACACCCCCCCTGTTCTACATTTCCATCAAATGTATGAAAGGTAGGGGGGGCAGGTGGTCAAGCCCGGCGACGGAAAGAGGTGTCAAGAAGGTTTACGCATTATTGTTTTTGATTGAATGAGACATGGGGGGGACATGCCTTGCACCAGCACAAAACAATATTTGGGGGCCCAAAAAATGTATTCCTCTGGGGGATGAGCTGCTTCTATGAACTATCAATTCATTGCAAGTCAAAATCTTAAAACGTATGAACCATAGGGGGACCATGTTCATTTACTGCAGTAATCTGGATGAGATGAGACAGCATCAAATGTATAAAATATAGGGTGGGCTAGGTGGAAAACACTGGAAATGTATGAAAGTAAGAGGACTATGTTGTTTCAACCTCAAAAACTGACGATGCCCTTCGGTTGATTTCCACCGCTTCTTTCGGTATCTGGCCGCAGAATCAATGAGTCCAAAGCAAATTCCAGTCGTTCTCTTTGCAAAGGCTGCAATCTCACGAAATTTCGAGGCTTTGAAAACAGGACGTCTGCGCTTTTTTTCACGATGCTTTGAAATTTTCTGCGTTTAATTTTAGAAGCAAAGATGCAGAGCCATTTGGAAGCAACAAGAAATATTTGAACATTGAAACTTCCCCTCTGTTCTGATTCCGTCTGCAATTCTCATCAATTCTCTGCATCCCCGGATTTGGCCAAAAAACTACTCGTATCCCACATCGTGTTGTTAAATTGGCCTGGAAGATTCGTGTTGAATCTCTGCTTGCTCTACGAGTACCTACTTTCCATTTACTTCCTACGATTTCCTTCTTAAACTCTTCAACATCAAATTGGGTGCAAGTGAAAACAGTGCGACAACAATCGACTGCACTGGACAATGCGTCATGATTGTCCACAGGCAGCGGATCTTCGATGAGCAATGTCAGCTCCTTCATCCATGCCAAAAATTTGACTGGCCCTTTTCCTTGACATCGTGCGATCGTCCGGAAGTGGCTGTAAGCTTTGCTATGCATGTCGCCCAAACCTCCATGCTCATGAAACCACCTTGGGACTGTCGCCTTCAAGTCTTCCCCTTTAAAGGGGCTTCTTCAGCAATGGAAAAGCAACCATTCTTCCAGCTTCATCCACAATGTTCTGGCCGTAGTTCCTCGGGTAAGCTACGATGAAACATGGTAGGCCAAATACTGAAAATGTATGAGGAGCACCCCCCACCTCTTTAGGTAATCTCTTAATTTTACCCAAAAAAGTTCATACAATAAATGCCCGTTTCAGAGGGGGGGGTGGAAATGCACCCTCTCCATACATTTTAAGGGGTGGGGGGTGATATCCCATCATATCGCCACTATACCCCGGCCCCCCTTTCTGAGTCGTCCACCAGCACTCTCCGGGTGGAATTGCACGCCATAGACCTGGAAAGATGGCGGAGCACTGGGAAGTCCCAGAGCGAAATGGACGTTCGACGTTGGAATGGGAAAATCATGGGCTATCGGAACAATCAATGTATATAACATGTGGGGATTTTCCATTGTTTGAGTAATCAGAACACAGACAATTAGGGTCACCGGTTATACTTATCTTCTGGCAGCCAGCTTCGTTCCCATGGTCGCGGATGATCGCGGATGTATTTAACACGAAACTCCGAAGGGACCCACTCCTGGATTGCTTGCGGGGAATGTAAGTGGCCACGGCAGCAAGAAAAAGCACAGGGTGGACTACACCCAACTGGCCGACTGCAACCCACTTTGAGCTTGGCCTGGCCAGACTCAGCGCCATCTCCAAAAACCTTCCTGATCTGATCAGATGGTGCTTCACAAGATGGCTCAGCGTGCCAAGTATAGCAGTTTCCCAATTATTTAGGGCTTCCCTGGCTCCATTTCTGTGGACATGTCCTCAATGGCTCTTGTATCTCAAGGTACAGACTCAAAAACACGTCAGTAGGCCCATAATGAGATTGGATTCTGTGACAAATTTCTCGTCTTATCAGGTTTATGCCCAAGATGTCCCAAGGTAGCTTTGCTACATTCCAGTTGTAGGTTTGCCATATCCCGTCTTCCTGATGTTACCCGGCTAACCCCATGCCTATTGGTCAAATACCAATTCATATTCCCATTTGCGTGGTTGTTGTTTTCCTCCTTCTCTTCTAGTAACTAGTAAAATTTCCATTTTTTGAACCCCCCCCCATCTTGGCACACTCACATATCAATTCTTTCAGGGTTTGAATCAATTTTTTTGTCTGCTTCAAACCCCCTTCTGGCTCGTTTGGTCTAAGCAAACCACAGCAATTTCCAACTGAGAACCGCATTTTGCATGGTATCCCTTGCCATCATTTACACTGATGGAAGTGGTGAGGATGGTGAGGTCGTTTTTATCCAAAAAAGCTTTAAATCTCCCCCGTTTGCGTATACATCAAACACGCATATTGTTGGTGTTGTGTCACATTGGGCTTATATCCCATGTTTTGTCGATGTAAAACACGTGCTGATACATTCCATTGCGTTCCCATTCTATTCCCTGTATATTTCATTATAGTTCCATTCGGAAAATAATATATATATATATATATATGTTTCTGTGTTTGTCGTGTATACCCCTGTTCATTGATTAAGTCCCACTTTTCCATGGAATAGAATCCCTGTGCTTGTTGGACAATTGTATCATATTGAAACTGTTGCCGTGCTTGTTCACTGATTGACATCCTTTTTTTTTGCTCGATACAGCAGTTGTATCACATCAGCATTTGTGTTGTTGTTCATGGTTGAAATCCTAATTATTATCAGTTTGTCCCCCATGAAATTGTTTACCATCGGCTACATAAATACACACATATATGAAAGCGCATGGGTTTTCACTTCAGAAAACGATTCACTTTCAAACAAATTATAGTGGGCGTTGGATATCAGTTTGTGTATTTGCTGTTGGGTATGTACAGAACGGATTGGAAAGGTTAAACATAATATACATAATATCCATATTATAGTGACATTTACAATATGGAAAACAATGGTTCACTGGAATTCATGGTATATTGACTACAGAAACATCCATTTGGGCCTGGCTGCAATGGTGAAACATCCTGTTCCCATTAATTGAAACTGGAATATCCCCATCAAGTTGAGACAAACCCAAAGATCATATCAAGTTGGTTGAATCTATTTCAATTTCTATCTACAGAAATGTATACTGTATATATATGTATATATTCCCATCATTTTCCTATCAATATGCACTGAAAGCTCATCCAGGCATCCAAATTATTATATAGATTGTTGCTTATATATCCCATTATAGCCCATCATATTCACATTCCCTATTTGATGGTTAGCTATATCATATCCCATCCATTTATATCCCCTAATTCTGACTGGTTCGTTGCTGAAATCACCATGTTCCATTGGACAATCACCCAACGTCACAACCGACGCCACGACGAAGCCGTCTGCCTCGCCTGCCCGTCGCGGCCTTCGATGGCCATGGGCAACTTCCGCGAGGCGTCCCACGCGCAGACCTATGGGGGGTTCCTAAATTGGTACCCCGCTGGATGATTTTCGTTAAAATCATATTCAAATGGATGAGTATGAGACTTGTTGTTAACAATGGTTATTAACAAGTGTTATTATAGGACTATGGTGTTTATCAATGTGTTACTCATGTGAGTATTTATAATAGTTTTTTAATATATAATATGACCATAATTAACAACATACATGTACTATGGGCCATAGTTTATATACCATTATATTTGTTCAATAATTGCGTAACGGGTATTAACAATGGTTATTAACAAATTCAATGGTTCTTGTCAACGGTTATTAACCAGCTCAAACAAGCCCAAACATTGACATTGTAATCAACAAGCTCAATGGCGATTAACAAACTCAATGGTTATTAACAATGGTTATTAACAAACTTAGTGAACAACAACGGTTACTAACAAAGTAAATTGTTATTAACGCTGATTATGAACAAACTTAATGAATAACAATGGTTATTAACAAACTCTATGGTTAGTGACATTTGTTAAAAACAATATGTGATACTCAAACTTAATGGTTATTGATATTAGTACATTGTGGACTAAAAACACCTTAATATACCTAATTTCTCTCATTCCCAGATTGATCAATTTATATGCATGCTTTGAACCCACAAACAATATTCATGGTAACTAATGATGAATGAACTAATGCGTTAACCAACACCAAATATAGGGTTCTAAACAAGAACTGTTTTTTGCCGACAACACATAATGCTTGAGGCGACGACGTGTTTTTTGACCAAGCAACACATGTGGTTTAAGCCACAAAACTGTGACTTGAAGCAATACATATGGAGGATGATTGCTGGTTTGTTACGATGATTTCCTTAGATTAGAGGCTGGAATTGTGGG